TTTGAAAATTGATGATTAAGCTCAACAATATGATTTTCTCACAAATAGGTCCCTCGCTCACACTTATTTGTTCTTGAAATTTTTGGGGTATTACATCCACCCCTCCTAAAAAGGAGTTTAGTCCCCTAAACTCATACCTCAATCTTGGAAGAGGTGCGGATGTTCCTGCCTCATCTTGGATTCCAACTCCCAAGTAGCTTCTTCAACCAAATGGTTATCCCAGAGGACCTTAACAAAACGAATGGTCCTTTTCCACATTATCCTCTCCTTGAAATCTAAAATGCGGATCGGGTGCTCGTCATAAGTAAGATCCTCTTGGAGTTGAATTGGTTCGGGATTAATGATGTGACTTGGGTCGAGAACATACCTTCGAAGTAAGGACACATGAAACACATCATGAACACCCGCTAGATTTCCAGGCAACTCCAATCTATAAGCTACCTCACCAATCCTTTCCAAGATAGGATATGGTCCAATATACCTCAGACTCAATTTTCCCCAGATGCCAAACCTGAGGACACCTCGAGTGGGTGACACCTTAAAAAATACATGGTCACCAACTTCAAACTCAAGGTCTCGTCTCCTTCTATCTGCATAGCTTTTCTACCTGCTTTGTGCAGAACGAAGGCGTTCCTTGATCAACTGCACAATCTCAGAAGATTGCTGCACCAATTCTGGGCCTAAAATGCTCCTTTCGCCCACTTCCGTCCAACAAACAGGTGATCTACACCTTCGACCATACAAGGCCTCAAACGGTGCCATGCGGATGCTAGATTGATAACTGTTATTATATGCAAACTTAGCCATGGATAAGTGTTGATCCCACGAACCCTTCCAATCTAGAACACAAGCCCTCAACATGTCCTCAAGTATCTGAATTGTTCTCTCAGATTGCCCATCAGTTTGAGGATGAAAGGCTATGCTGAAATTTAATTGAGTACCAAGTGCCTGCTGCAAGCTTGTCCAGAAATGAGATAAAAATCTGGTATCTCTATCTGACACAATAGACACAAGGACTCCATGCAGTTTGACTATCTCCTCCATGTACATATTGGCAAGCTTTTCAATGGAGGTGCCAGTCTGGTAGGGTAAGAAGTGAGTTGATTTGGTCAATCGATCAACGATGACCCAAATGGAATCATTACCCTTTAAGGTTTGTGGTAAGCCAGTCACAAAGTCCATGGTGATGTTTTCCCACTTCCACTGGGGAATAGGTAAAGGCTGCAGTTTCCCAAGAAGTCTCTGGTGTTCGGCCTTGACTTTTTGGCAAGTCAGGCATTGTGAGACAAATCTAGCTATCTTCCTCTTCATGTTCCGCCACCAAAATGTACTACGTAAATCACGATACATCTTGCTGCTCCCTGGGTGGATTGTATAGCTAGTATAATGGGCATCTCCCATAATCTCATGCCTTAAAGCATGGTTTCTTGGTACACACAGCCTGTCACCAAACCACAGAGTCTCATCATCAGAAATTCTGAATTCTTGCATGCGGGGTTCCCTGGCTCTTACTTTTTCCTTCTTCCTCTGCAAGAAGGGATCTGTTTGTTGGCCAAGTTTAATTCTATCTATTAATGTTGGTTGTGCACTGAAAGCAGCTAGATAAGCCGTAGTACTGTCCACTCTTAACTCCACATCCAGTTTCACAAGATCCTCAAGTAACTCCTTCTAAGTGGCAAGGATGCTAGAGGTAGTGCTAGAGGACTTCCTACTCAACACATCTGCTACTTTGTTAGCTTTGCCCGGATGGTAGCTAATGGTCAAGTCGTAGTCCTTTAAAAGTTCAAGCCATCGCCTCTGCCTCATATTAAGCTCTTTTTGAGTGAAAATATACTTAAGGCTCTTGTGATCGGTGAAGATTTCACAAGTCTCACCATATAGGTAATGCCTCCAGATCTTGAGTGCAAATACTACAGCTGCCAACTCCAGATCATGGGTAGGGTAATTTTCTTCATAAGGCTTTAACTGCCGGGAAGCATATGCAATAACCCTATCTTTTTGCATCAAGACACATCCCAAACCCTTTTTAGAGGCATCACTATATATACTGAATCTTTCCCCATTAATAGGAACTGCAAGTACAGGAGCAGTGACCAACTTCTCCTTCAAGGTCAAAAAGCTCTTCTCACACTCTGGAGTCCACTCAAACTTGGTGTCCTTCCTGATAAGACGAGTCATTGGCGGAGCAATTCTAGAGAAATCCCCCATAAATCGGCGGTAATAACCAGCCAATCCCAGAAAACTACGAATTTCTGCAACACTATTCGATCTTTTCCAATCAACCATGGCCTCAATCTTCTGGGGGTCAACAGAGATTCCATCCTTAGTCACCACGTGACCTAGGAATGCAACATTGTCTAGCCAAAATTCACACTTCTTAAATTTAGCAAACAGATCTCGAGGACGGTCCTTAAGTGCTTTTCATGAAGAGTGCGGCTAGAAGAGTAGATCAAAATGTCGTCAATGAAGACAACCACGAACTGATCTAGGTACTTGCTAAACACCCGATTCATCAAATCCATAAATCTGGCAGGGGCATTTGTCAAGCCAAATGGCATGACTATGAATTCATAATGGCCATAACGAGTGCGGAAGGCAGTCTTTAGCACATCATCCGGTTTAATCTTCAATCGGTGGTAGCCAAATCGAAGATCAATTTTAGAAAATCCCTGAGCACCCTTGAGTTGGTCAAACAAGTCATCAATTCTAGGAAGGGGATACCGGTTCTTCACAGTTACCTTATTCAATTCCCGGTAATCAATGCATAGCCTCATGCTCCCATCCTTCTTCTTAACAAACAACACTGGAGCTCCCCAAGGTGACACACTAGGGCGTATAAACCCTTTCTCAAGGAGTTCCTCTAGCTGGACCTTTAACTCTTTCAATTCTGCAGGAGCCATATGGTATGGTGCTTTGGAAATAGGTCTGATGCCAGGAACAAGGTCAATAGCAAATTCAACCTCCCTATCTGGAGGTAAACCTGGGAGACCCTCTAGAAATACATCCGGAAACTCACGCACCACCAGTATGTCTTCTAGTCTCGATGTCACACTACTAGCATTAGTAACAGAGACTAGGAAACCCTGGCAACCATTTACAAGATATTTCTGAGCCTGCAAGGCGGATATTAGCATGGGTGGAGCAAAAGAACCACTGCCTTGAAAACTAAATTCTGGTTCGCCAGGAATATTAAAAATTACCCATTTTCGATGACAATCTATAAAGGCAAAATGTTTTGACAACCAATCCATCCCCAAAATGATATCAGAATCGGAGATATCTAAAACAAATAAACTAGCACTCAACTGTCTACCATCAACATAAATATCTACAGTCCTACACATCTCCCTAGTAGTCATCACCCCTCCTAAAGGGGTGTCCACATGCAGTTCAAGATCAGAGATATCAACAGGCAAAGCTCGTTTCAAAGCATAAGATCAAGCAATAAAAGAGTGCGATGCACTCGAATCAAATAAAACATGCGCATAATCAGAGTTAACAGGCAAGGTACCCGTGATTACGTCGGTGGCCGCAGCTTCCTTATGAGTCATCACTTGTACTCTCGCCTGTTGGGCTCTCGTCCTAAACCCAGTACTCTGTTTCTGCGCCCCCTGACTGGTAGAACACTGCAGAAAGGTAGGTTGAGTACTCTGGGCTTTAGGGTCTAGCAGTGGAAAATTTGCAATCCGGTGTCCCTGCTTGCCACATTTGAAGCAAGCCCCAGTAACAGTGTGGCACTGATCCCGGGTGTGCCCAACCTTCCCACAAACGTGGCAAGTAAGCTGAATAGGATGAGCACGTTGGGCCGTTGATGGTTTATGGACTATTAATCAAATGCTCCAATGAGAAATTTCTTGGCAAGTTTCCACTTCCGGGACCAAGCAACACAAAAATATCAAAACAAAGGAAACCAACACACATTAAGGAAAGAATCAAACAAGCGCCTTTAATCAACCCCATTCTCATGCCTCACCATGTTCCTATCATTCCTTTGCTAGCCAAGTTCTAGACTAATTTTAGGCACTTAATTAAACCTAGGCTCTAATACCACAAAATCTGTCACGCCCCAAACCGAGAGCAAAACAAACGCCGTGCACTCAGGAACGGGTCCCACAATGCACAAGGCTCGAAACTTACTGAGTTCATATTACTAATTCAGATAATTCAGATTTAGAAACTCAGGTAATATCTAATTTCCTTTCCTTTCTAACTATTCACTTGCCAAAATGTACAAGGATTTATAACTTCATTTATACAGTCATGACTAACACTAAGTTCTGTACACAAAAATTTCAAAGTCAAGCATGGGTGACTAACGGCTTAGCTACAAAATCTAAGTCCAAAAATGCCTAGCCGTTTAGCTCGTCACTTCCCCGAGCTTCCCACGTGTCGAGTCTCACTACTTGAAATGGTGGACAAGGAAGCCGTGAGATAAAATATCTCAGTAAGTAAACATGGGTGCCCGAAATCAAAATTTAAAGCATGCCAAATAATCGGTTGAAACATAAACAGAGCGTTTCAATAACAAACCATTAATGCGAAATGAAATTACATAGTGGT